TGATAATGAAAAATTGCTTTAAAATCAGATTCGGTAAACAAAAAAAAAAAAGAAAAAAAACAGAAGCAGCAAAAGCAAGAAAAAAAAAAGAAAAAAAAGTAGAAAAAATCAAAAACAGAATAACCCAAAACCAAATTGAAGTTGCAAAAGGAAGCGACCAAAGAAGAGAAACAAAAATAAGAAAAAAAAGCGATATAAAATTGATTTCCAAACCTATTCAAATGTATTGACACTGCTGTCAAACGAAGCATCTTCTCAACTATCTTTTGCACCGTTAATCCTTCTTTTCTTTCTGTTTAGTTCCGTTATTTATCGCTTAGTGGTAGGAAGAAAAAAAAAAACAGACCTACCAAACGTTCTTTCGGTTTGCCCTTTAGCTCTGTGTTCAGTGTCATCCCCTTGCTTTTTCTTCTTCGCCTACTTCGTTTCCAACCACAAATTTGAAAATAGTAAAGCACAAGAAAAAAAAGAAACAGCTTTTTATTATATAGGTTTTTTTTTTACTGCTATTATGGCTCAAATATGAATGATTTACGATGAAATATTTTGGTATTTATTAACCATACTTTATCAAAACTTTACATAGAATTGTCTAATACGAAAAAAAAAGTGGAAGGAACCGGCAAGTGTAAAAGATTGAAAAAGAAAGTCGTGTTTTGTTTCCTGTAATGTTGTTATGTTCAATAATAAATTATAACTTAAAAAAACAAAACATTAATATCAGATTACTTTCTCGTTCTAACAAATCTGTTCTGTCGCTTATTTTCTTGCCTTTACTTTACACTTGTTAATATTTCTTTTATCTACAAAACAATGAAAATAATTAATGCTGTTTTAATTAACTTTACCCAACCAAATATCCGGGCAACAGCAGTAATATCATTCTATTACTGCGGTTATCAGCATGTATACCCATCACGACAGACACAGCAAAATGTAGTTACGGCAGCAGTGTAACGATTTGCGAAGTCAATTGATGGAAAAAAGCAGTTTTTTTTTTTTGCAGAAGGAAAAAAATAACTGGAAAAAAAGTGGGCAGATGAGGTGAATTTGTAAAGATAAATATACCCATAAATAACAGCAGCAATATTTCTTTCATTCAGTTATTTATGTGTTTATTTATCAATTCAGTTGCATATATTTTGTAATTCTTTACAACAACCAGAAATTAAACAAAAAATAAAAAAAAAGATGAAGAAAACTAACTAAAACGATCTGCACAGAAAGAGAACATTTAATTCAGCTATAGCGTTAAATTCAATTGAGTTGAGAGTATGTTTAAATTCAGCAAATGTGAAGCAAAACGAACAAATAAATAAGTAAATAAATAAATAGCCAAAAAAAAGTTATGAAACAATCTAAAAATCTAAAAAAATATCAGTTTCGTTCACTTAAGTTCTGTCATTAAGTCACGATTTAGTTTAGTGTATTTTTGAAGTGTCAAGATGAAGAAAAATAAGCAGAAAAAAGTCGAGAAAAACAGAAACAGAAAAATAAATTTAAGGGTGTTTTAAGTTCAGTTAAAAATTTCTTTAACTTTGCTTTATTACCAAATGTTTGTTCTTATACGAATCATTGAAAGCTTTAGTAGCTGAAAAAAAAATTAGATTAAATTCTTTTCCTTCATCTGTTTTTCAATTTTGCTGCTGTCGTTGTAGCCCAAAGAACGGTGACAACACTTAGGGAAAACAACAATAATAAAGTTTAAATTATAATCTAACTAAAAGCAGCTTATTCAAAAAAATTGGTAGAATAATGAAAAGAAATAAACTGATGAAGCAAAACAAAATAATGAAGACTAAACTGATACAAATTAATAATGGCAAAGAAACCGAAAAGGAAAAAAAATAGATCAAAATCAAAGATGCTGTTGTCTTTTGCACTATTCCTAGTAGCATTCCGAGGTTCACGTCTTTAATGGAATATACTTACGATAATTGTGTTATATATGACTTGTTGGTATTCAATCAGCAAACTTTGTTGGCCCACTTTCTGCTGTTGTCGTCAACTTTGTCGTTATTATCGTTGCCGTCGGTCGCCGTCGCCGTCGTCGTTGTCGTAATCGTTGCTGTCATCGTTATCAGTGCTGCTATTGTGCTGCATTATAACACTCTCTTTGCTGCTACTGTTGCCATTATTTTAATCGTTACCACAAATGTTTTTTCCTCTTTTATCTTTCTGTTTTTTTTTTTTCCAATTATTCTGTATCTTGAAGCATCTGTATCTGTCTTTATAAAAATACTCAATCAACGAAAAGCGTCGTTTTGCTAAAAATATGATGCACAAAATTGGAATAATATTCTAACTGACAGTAATTTAACGCTGCATGTAGACAAATTTCTTTCGTAACCCTTAAAGCGCCAATATATTTCTTTAGCAGTATAAATATGGCCGATAAAATTAGTATTTTTTTGATTATTTACCTAAAAATAAAATTTTTTTTGCACTTTTGATTCTTTGCCACTGCTCTTTTTTTGTCCCATTTTTGTATGCTAAATTTCTTCTCTTCTTCTTGATGCTACCACCACTTACACGGTTGAATATACTTTCTTTTTGGCTTCATTATTTGATACAGGCGAAAACAAGAAACGAAAAGAAACAAACGATAATGCAGAAGTAAACAGCCTTATTATCAAACAGATAATCAGTATTATTCTTCTGTTTCGGAAAAGCAGTCAAAAATAAAATGTGAAAAATTTGTTCAATCATCAGTTTTATTTTGGCATTAATACGCTGCTTTTTTTTGTCTTCTCGTTTTTTTGTTCTTTGTCGCTGTTCTGCTGAGTATCAGCGTTGATTTAGTAGTCTTGATTTTTATCCACGATTCAAGTTTATTTCTTATAAAACTTATAAAGAAAGACTTACTTGAAAATGCAAAGGTGTTTGGGTAAGTAGTGATAAAAAAACTGGTAAAAGAATATTTATCTTTTCAAAAACAAGAAAAAAACCAAAAAATACGGCTTTTTAATGACACAGCACTTCAATCGTCAAATTTGTCATTTTTACAGAAGTTTTTCCTAGTTTTTTTCTTCTTTCAAAATGTAGCAAGAGAAACAAAAAAAAGCAGTTATAGTTGGCAGAAAAAAATTCATTGGGAAAAGAAAGGGAAAACGAAGGAACAGAATGACAAGAAAAGGGCTGCAACTGTATATTTTCAATACTCATCAAACTTCAAATAATTCATTCATTCTATGGTTTGTCATGCATAAAATTTACCTTATCTTTGTGTTGTTTCTTTTTCCCTCAGCTGTTTATTTTGATTAATCGGTGGTTTCTATTTTTTTTTCACTCCTACAAAAATAAGTAAATAAATTACAAAGAAAAAAAAAAAAAAACGCAACCAAAAAACGACCAAAGAAATCTTCCATATTTACAATTATATTAAATTTTAAAAAAAAGAAAGAATGCACAATTAATTAAATTATTACATTTATTAATTGATATAAAAATTCGAGAGAAGGAAAAACTGAGAAGAATTTAACATTCCATAGATAGGCGTAAATGATTATATTACTGTACGGTCACCGTACTATGCAAACTAATTTTTTTTGTTTGTTGGCAAAAAGCCAAGAAACGAAAAATTTTTCTATTGTTTCATTAAAAATTTAGAAACGTAGCAGCGCACAAATTTGTGTCATTCTTTTTTTTCTTTTTTCACATTTTTTGTAGTTTTATTTGCCACTACAATAAAAGTGACACTATAAAAAACAGTAGAAAGCACCTAATGATAAGAACAAATCATTTAAAATATATATGATATTTCAACAGAAACTTTTTACTCTCAGTTATGCTCTTTGACCGATGGGAATTCGATGTGAATAAGGAAACGAACAAAAAAACAATTTTTTTTTTTTTGCAGCAAATTAGCATCAGCGTAGCTGTCGTCTGTCGTCAAAATGCAAATTTGATCAAGCTCTTTTTTTCTGCAGCCATCATTTTAGTAAAAAAAAAAAAGACTACTATCCTCACTTGACTCTTCCCCTATCATTCTCAATTTATTCGTTTCTTAGACATATCAGCATTTATTGTAGTGTAAGTTTGCAGTTGCATTAGTGATCAGATAGCAGGTACACAACAGCACTACATAAGGTTGATCTTTACTTTAACAATAGTAGCCTTTTTGCCAGTTTTATGTTTATATATTCTTCAGTCTGTCTAAAAATTTAAATCTTCAGTTTGCAGCATTTTTTGCTTAAATTGTTCTTTGCTAAACTGTCACTATAATGGTGATGTGGATATGAATGATGATGATGAAGGTGACTATAATGATGATGAAGTTGATGCTACTGCTGATGACGACAACAATGGCTCTAAAAATGACGATGGCGATGAAGACGAGCATGATAATAATAATGATGGCAACGATTAGAGGGAGTAGAGGCTACTTTAAAAAAAAAATTCTTCCCAGTTTTAAAGAAAAAAAGTAAATAAATAAACAGATAAATAAATGAATAAAAACAAAAAAAACAAGGCCAACTATGTTGTGTCTTTCTATAAGATTTTTCAGTTACTTTTTTTCTTGCAGCTTTTCATTTATCATAGCATTTTTAGATGTCAAAAAAAAGCCTAAACAAAACTTCTTATTTTTCATGATTGTTTTTTGGCTTTTTTATTCCTTCTCACTTTTCATCGCTAAACCAACACTTTTACATTGTCACTCAGTTCGTCTATATGGTTAGGAAATTTAACAGGTGCTCAAATATCAGTTGTTTTTGCTTCACGTAGAAAGGCACACCAAATGACGTTGATGCAGGAAAAGATAAAATAAACACAGACTTTGGCAGACATTTTTGATGTGCCTATATGTATGTTTCTTGAAAGGTTTAAACAGTAACTACCTTTTTTTGTAGATTTTATCATTAATATGTTCATTAAAAAACGTTTAAAAATCCACTTTATTAGTTTTGTAACCAAAGCTAATAAACTTAAAATATCAAAACAAAACAAAAACAAATAAACCAATATATATAAGAGAATGAATTATTTTTCTTTTGTTTTTCTATGCTTACAGTGTAAAAAGCTGTGCAAAAAAAAAAACTGATTATACATAACGTACGTTTGGCAGTTTCA